AACCATTCCAGAGTTAGATGGGAAAAATATTTAAATGTGTAGTTGGGAATTCGTTTTCATTGGAAATGCTGCACCCATCTCCTTAGCCACCTCTTGGTAACTTCCTATTATGACTTCTCTTTTTGCAGACATACTTGCTGTGCTCATTTCTGGAGGCTGTGCTGGAATGCTGGGGTGGGGTGTAGCAACTCCTATGGATGTCATTAAGTCTCGGATGCAAGCAGGTGAATTAGGACAACACAAATACAGAGGACTGATGCACTGTGCCAGAGAAAGTGTGAAAGCAGAAGGATTCACCGTCCTTTTCAAAGGACTTGGGTTAAACTGCATCCGTGCTTTCCCTGTGAACATGGTGGTGTTTGTTACGTATGAGGCTGTACTGAGACTCGCAGAACATCTTACTAAATAAAAACACATCACATCATTCTCTTCTAAGGTAGCTGCTTTCTTTAAGACAAATTTCATATAACCAATGTTGAAGTGTCTGATAGTGGAGATCCTGGGTGAAATCAGCATGTTTAATAGAATGGAAAGCATCAGCAAAGCAGCTCATTGATGTTTTTCTTGCAGAGTCCCAGACTAGTCGAGACACCTCCTGCTTTTCTCCAAACTTGCTCTGACGCGCTCCCAGCCAGCCTGAGGCTGCTGCTCAAGCAGGATGCACTTCCACAAATCTTGGTGTTTTGCTGCCCAAGCACATTCCGTACAGTCAACATTAAAAATTCAAACAGCAGCCCCTCTGAGTGGGAGCTCATGGGAGAGGGCCAAACACCTCTCCTATCAAAACAAGGCTCACTCTAGCAGCAAGACTGCCACAGCACAAGGTTGATTTTTGCTCTACATCTAATGCTACATGCTATCTGCCATTATATGTACTTACATGGCACATGCCCCAACCAGGGTGTTGGATCTGTGAATGCTGGATTTTAGGGGTCTGCAATTCTGTTTTTCTTAGTGTTGCCTTGACCATGAGCTGTGAAACTGCTACTTTAATAATTGCAGAACTCCTACTTCTGATAAATTCTCTCAGCTAAAGGCCAGCTAGCACAAACACTGCGTGCAGAACCGTTTGAGTGGATCCTTCATTTTCCTCTGTGGTCACAAACTACTGGGGAGAGAAGCCTCAGACTTTGGGCAACCAGCAGTCAAAAGGATTGCACCCATGTTCACAAGAGCAAGGAAAGAGGGGTTAAAAGAAAAACAGCAAGAAATGAAGCTTAGTGCCTCCATTAAATACCAGTGGAGAAATCTGACACACACTTCCAGTACTTTAATCCATATTTTTATTATATTGACATGAATAAAATACCAGCAAGTCAAGGAAAATTTAGCCAGTGATTATGAACCTGACAAAAGCTCTCAGTCATTTCACTGGAGCTTTTGAAGACTTTGCCCTCATTGACCTTTAAATACCTCTGGGATTAAAGTGATCATTCGCAACAGAAAGTTGGGAGTTTCTCAACTCTGCTTTGGGACAGAATCACATTGTTATGAGTCAGGGTTGGTTTTCAGAAGCATGGGATTGTTGTAAGCAGCCAGTGCAATATCAAATTATCCCATCAACAAGCAAGTACTTAATTTACTCTGTTTTCACATTCCCTTTTAGAACTTTCTAGTTGGATTTTAATAATTTAATTACAAAATAGACGTGTAAATTCTTGTGCAAGTTTGTCCTATATTGGTTTTTATTAACCAAGTTTTAACTTAACCTTGTTTATTAAACTGATTCTTAGTGATGAACTACATGGGAAATCTGCAAAAAACCCCCTGAAGTGCAAATCTTTTAAAGAACTGAAATCACTTAAAGCCTCTGGCACATGTTACATTTGCTGCATGTTATACATAAGTATTGTGTGACAAACTGTAAATACACAAGACATGAAACCAGCTTATTCTTGGATAAAAACAGCAAATCAGCCGCAAAACCTGCTTGCTGAAACAGTGACTTCTGTGATGTGGAAGTATCCTGTGAGAATTCTAAGTATCTTGAATGCGGCCATTTGGCAGGTTATGATTTGTCACACAATACTTGCATATAAGCATGACCAACATAATAGCTATCAGGGGCCTTAGACTGAGCCAAATTAAAAAAAAAAAATGCACAAGCATGGTTCATAGTGGGGTATGGAGAGCTAAAAAAACTCATTTAAAAAGTCCACCTCAACCACAGTTATACAAGGTAGGAAGGAAGAGAACAAGGGAGATGATTTTAATTTTTTTTTTTATATTTGGGAGATACCCAGAATCTATGGTACAAATGGTAAACGCTGACTTCAGTGCACTTATTAAATACCTCTGGTTTTAGTAGTGCTAGATCACAGTACTCTAGGAATAAGAAAATTAAGTATTTCTGTTTTCAGCATAAGGTAGAAAACAAGTGGTAACAAGACTGAACCTGCTCTCTACTAACAAGCTTTAGCTTCCCCCTGGTCCCTTACAGACCTGTAACACATTGAAAAATACTCCACATGTGGCTTGGCACAACCAACAGCTCCTTCTCAGAAGCCAGACTGCAGAGTAGTTGCTAGCAGGGCCTGGGTGCATTGGCAGAACTAAGATTGGGAAGGCAGTTATTTTCCAGTATCTACCAGCTTGAGGCAGAGACCATCATTCCCCACGGTCTTCTTCAGTAAGGGCCTGGGCCAAGGCCTGCTGAAAGTGAGGGGGGAAAGACCTCAGCAGGCCTTAAATTCACCTGCAAAACATCTCCCTCCCCACTTGACAGTAACTATGTACCTACTGTATGAACTTAAGAGTACATGTATATAGTTAAAACTACTGCATGACTGTGCCATATTCTACTGCTACAAACCCTGACAAACTGGCCTGACTGGCCTCTCCAACCCTTAGAAAAAAAAACAATATACTCTCATGCCAAATACAGGGGGAATCTTACAGAGTTCCAGCTACTTTTCATTCTGTTTGAAAGGAATTTCAAATGCAAAGTAACTGTAATAATAATTCTCATCACCTATATTTCTAATTCTATTAGTCAGGTCTGAGCTGTAGTCATACATACAACCATATATAGTCACACATTAGATCTAGTTTTTGTGGTACTGTTTTTAACACGGTGTAATAATAAAAGCTTCAGCTGAAATGTGCATTGTATTGCACACATCAGAACAATCACACTAAGACCAAAAGGTTCTTTTTGTCAGAACATTTCCTTGTCCAAGTTTGAAGTATTTCAACCAAGTGAGGTTCATTGGAATATATCTTAAAATAAATACCTCTTCACTTACTGAGACTTGCCTATAAAACAAACACAAATCCCTTTGTCAAGCAATCACATCATGTGTTTCTTGCCATGATGAGAAGCTTTACCGGTTCCTTGTTATGGATACACGATTTGCCCGTCTCCAGTTCCTTTTGTGTGAGGATATCAAAATACTTTACAATCAACCAACTATCTGAGGGTCTGGGCACTAGGAATCATCAGTTTTACAGGTTTACAGAAATGGAGACACAGGGATGTCCTGATTTCCTCAGGTCCAAGCAGAAGGGTGGAGCAGAGAGGGCCTGATTCCCAGCCCCCTGCTTTGGTCAGAAGGACACTCATAGTCTCTATTTTTGGATCCTCAGACACACAGGAGGTTGAGTTTTACAGGCAATGAGCATCTATGCAAGTGCAGCATGTCTCCCTGGTAGCCAGCTTCACAATTCAGTCCCTTAAACTGTGGTATGTAGGACCAAAGTTGGAGCTTTGAATAACTTGGTTTCTCTGAGATACCATTCCTAGAACAATTTACAAGTTAGACTTCCACATTACAATGGAAACTTTTATTAATTTTTCTTTATATTTTCAACATGAAATACAATAAATAGGGTGCTTTTACCAACAGAAACACTGCTCTGAAGAGTCTGAGAAGAGTAGCATTCATATTGCAGTGAAGGCAATTCTGCAGTTAACTAGTTTTCATTCCTAAATACTATTTTGAACCAGATTTTTTTTTCTGAACCGTCCTTGAGGATTCATTGCAAGTAACCTGTTAATAGTCATATTTATAAACCAGTGATTGCAGCTTGCACATAATTATGAAGTGATGACAACCAACAGAGGACTATGATGATTCAATATTGGTTTATCTAATGATAAATTAAATTACAGACATGTCCCTAAAATTCAAATGCCAGTTTCCGTGGAGTCATAAACTGTTTTACCATTTCGTTTGTGACCTGTTTGCGTCTTTCCTGATGAGCTGCTATCAAGGGCTGCAATGTTTCAATAAGCACCTTCTTCAGCTCTCCTGTGAGCAGTGCCCCACTTGTGTAAGCCTGCCGAGAGAGGGGCAATGGGTTTTTAAAGCCTGGCTTTTGGTGAATGAAGACTTGGCTGCCACAAAGTTAATTATTTGCTTAGGTTCCCTAATATCACCCGTAAGTGCAATTTTCAGCATAAGGTTATGATACAGCAGTATGTTACTACACATACTATACAGACTGAGTAAGCTATGTGAACAAAGATTTAACTTGGATATCCAGTTGTAACAATGGGAAACCAAGCATTTTCTTCCCTAGGAGATCAAAATAAACAAAATAACATGTTTCTGGTCACTGTCTTGAGTTTCATAAGAAAACTGTCACACTTTTTTGTCGTAGGGTTTCCTAAGAATCCAAATATGGATAGTATAACCCCCCTTACACTATAGGAGTGTGTCCAGATGAGCATGCACATGTGGTTTGCAGAGCTGCAGACCCCTTGTGGGGTGCTGCAAAATGCACATGCCACATATGGAGGTGTTTGCCATGCTGCTAAATTTGCAGCGCAGCAGGTTTTTTTGACACCAGGAGATCCCTATGTCAAAAAATCTGTGCCAAAAAAAAGCAGAGCAGGGTGGTGCACGTGGTGGCAGCATTTGCTGCCTGAAACTGGAATCTGGCCAGGCAGAGCCACACTCTGGCTGCCAGCAAGGCTCCATGTGCTTGGATCCCTGCTGCTGGAGCCCTAGGAGGCACCCAGGACTCCAGGTAAGGCTGCTGGGGCCAGCCCAGGTGCTGGCACCAGCCTCCTCTACCCTACCTGGGGCAACTTGCTGTGTGCCAGACCACACGGGCATGGTCATTCCCCAGAGACAAGTAGCAATGGCACAACTATGCGCTGCAGGTATTTGTTCCTTGGGAAAAGCAAGCATGCTTTCATTTAGATGTGCCTTAGGGCTCTGACAGTCTCTGTCCAAACTGTACTGTTTACTCATTTCTGGTAATACATGCACCTGCATTGCTTTTGAAAGTGATTTAGCAGCTGGCAAATAGGCTCAGCCTGCATTCAGCGCTATGTTAGAAACTGGTTATGGCCTGAAGAGCTCAAGTTTTGTTTGAAATGGTAGCAAATATCCCATCAGCCCTTGCCATTCATGACACCAGTTCAAGCTTCAGCTATTGCAGACACCAGCTCAGCAGTGACTAAATTTCTTAATGAAAACAAAACATAATTATTAAAATGTTTTTCAATGGACTTCTGGGGTTTTTGGATTCCTCTCAGCTATAATGGAGGGCACACACACAGCGGCTGCTTCTGAAAGCTTCCTATTATGGCACCGTAACTGGCGTGGGTTCATTAAGCTAAACCAGATTGCAAGACCATCTTTTCTTAAATTTGCAACAAAGCAGCATGATGGCAAAATGTACTCTAGTGCTAGTGCCATGGAAGGAGATTTTTCAGAAAATACGGGAGTGGGTCAAGTGTGCTCCTGGAATACATAAGGAATTAGCTATTTTAGTCTAAAAAGATTAACACAGTGTTTGGCAACCTTTCCCACTTGTAGGCTGGAAATGACCATCCTGGGTCAGGGGCAGGCAGGAAGGTTAGTGCTAGGATGCACAGCAGTTGGCACCTCCCCTGTGGTGGCATGGTGAGTGCGTCTGCAGCTGAAGCTCCCTCTTCCATCCCCCACCCCCCACTGAATGCTGCCAAAGCTCTGTCTGCAGGCTGGATTTGATTGCTCCATGGATCAGTTTCATCTTGAAGGCCATAGATTGCTAACCCCTGGATTAACATCATGCCCAATCCTGTTTCCTTCCCTGTTCAAAGCAGAGGCAAGGTTATGTGGGGGAAACGAAAGGAGGAGTGTGCAGATTCTGCACTAAGTTACTATTTTTGTGCCCCTCTCTCCAGCAAGGTGGGCACTCAGGGCTGCTGTCCTAGTCACCTGCCCACTCTTTAGTTTTACTACTGCTACCACCACACCCAGGATGAGAAGAAGAGCCCATTTCAGGTAGGTCATAGAGCAAAGCTGCCTATATGTATGACAGCTTTTGTTTAGGCTTCATTGTATACTAATAGAGAACACTTTTTGACTTTCCCTATGTTTATCAGATGTCTAATTGTAAGTGCTCGTGAAAGTTTCATGGGAGTTAGTAGCTGCAAAGACTTTTGAGGATCTGGACTCCAGACACAAGTAGGGCTTTTTAAATGATTATTAAAAATGCCAAAAAACTGATATAATTTAAATACAGGATATGGGAGAGGAAAAACTCTCTTGCCCAAGATACCCTTACAAAAATATTAGAGGAGACAGAACAAATGACATACGTGAGGAGAAAATGCTGCGATCATCAAACACAAATCTTGACCACTCATTGGCTGGAAGCATGACAGCAACTCAAAGGAAGGAGGTGACTGGGGTAATGTCACAGCACAAAGTATCTTGCCCAAAGAGGTTCACAGGCAGCCTTGGTTATAGGCTGGTCCCGCCCCAGACCCTTCTGAGGGGACAGATAGCAATTAATATTTTTTCTTGGCTCCTTACCTGCTTCAATTGTTCAAGTTTGTCATCATCTTCAAGGAAGAAGGTTAGGTACATGTAAGACACATCAACATCACAGTTGCCCCCATACTTCCTGTGCTCTTCAATAGTATCTTTTCCTCCAGAGAAGGCATGCTTGTTGATCTAGAATAACACAATGGTTTGATGACCTAACTTTTCTCAAACGTTACTTACTATGTAATAAACACATATAACAAAAATCTACATTAAAGATCAGTTGAACTGCAAGTAAGAGCAGATTGTGTAGTTTTAAAAGTCAAGGCAAGAAGCCTAATTTTAATGAACGAGTTAAAGGGATTTCAGGAGGAGAAAATGAGGATATACAGAGTCAGTACATAAGTCTTTTGTCTGGTTCAGTAGCAGACAGAGTGCATCCCAGTTTTTGCTGTGGATTTGCAAGTCCTTTTTTGGTACTGTTGCTGCTACTTGTTGGGAAACGCACGCTGGTTTTTGCAAAAAGAAAAACTCTAAAAACAACATTAAAGAGATTCAACCTCAATAAGAAATTAACTTTGATGGGACAGGAAGAGGCACAATTCAGAGAAATTACATTAGGAAAAAATGAGTAGATTTGGTAACTGTAGTAAATGCAAGGGGAAAGATAGCAGAGAGACAAGGAGAGAAGCTGCAGATACTAAGAACATAAACATAAGAACATAAAAATTATCACTGGCTGAGTCAGCCCATAGGTCCATATTGCCCAGTGTTACACAGTGGAAGAGAGTGGATGCTGAAAGGGAGAGTGCACTGGGTATGACCAGGGATGTTTTCCACTGTTCCTCTATCACTTGCACTCATCAGCATTTAAGGTCTAGGAAGTTCTAATTCAGAGGCTGTATCCCTAATTCCCACGCTCCATAACATACTGGTGCCCCTTTCCTCCAAGAATTTGTCCAGTTCCTTTTTGAATCCAGCTAAACTGTCAGCTGCCACAACATCTGGGGCCAGTGAGTTCCACATTTTAATTATGCTTTGTGTGAAAAAGAACTTCCTTTTGTTAGTTTTAAACTTAACTACCTACTGGTTTCATCTGATGACCCCATCACTTCACATTTATCTATATTGACATGCACCTGCCATTTATCGTTCCAGACCCTTCTGTAGTTTCTCATGGTCTGCCTTGGCCTTTAGCACTTTGAATAATTTTGTGTCATCAGCAAATCTGGGCACCTTGCTACTCACCCTCTTTTTCAGATCATTTATGAATACGTTTCACAGTCTCATAATTGGTAGGGTCAGAAGGGACCTGAGCAGATCATCAAGTCCGACCCCCTGCCATGGCAGGAAAGAGTACTGGGGTCAAACGACACTGGCAAGGTGATTATCCAGCCTCCTTTGGAAGACACCCAGGGTAGGAGCAAGCACCACTTCCCTTGGAAGTTGGTTCCAGATCCTAGCCGCCCTAACTGTGAAGTAGTGCCTCCTGAAGTTTAGCTTGAACCTACTCTCTAACAGCTTATGACTGTTATTCCTAGTTACTCCTGCGAGTGCTTTGGGGAACGGGGTCTCTCCCATTCCCTGCTGGTGCCCCTTGGTAAGTTTATAGATGGCCATCAGATCCCCCCTCAGCCTTCTCTTGTGGAGGCTGAACAGGTTCAGGTCCCATAGCCTGTCGTTGTAGGGCCTGCCCCGCTGCCCCCTGATCATGCGAGTGGCCCTCCTCTGGACCCTCTCCATGTTGTCCACATCCCTCCTGAAGTGCGGCGCCCGGAACTGGACACAGTACTCCAGCTGCGGCCTGACCAATGCTGCATAGAGGGGGAAGATCACCTCCCTAGACCTGCTCATGATGTATCTGTGGATGCACGACAAGGTGCGGTCAGCATTACTGACTTCGTTCTCACACTGCCGGCCCATGTTCATCTTGGAATCAATAATGACTCCAAGATCCTTTTCTGCCTCTGCACTGACGAGAAGGGAGTTCCCCAGCCTGTAGGTATGCTGCTGGTTCTTCCTCCCCAGGTGCAGCACCCTGCACTTGTAAGTGTTGAAACCCATCCTTTTCTCATCTGCCCACCCTTGTAACCTGTCCAGATCTAGTTGTAGCTTGTCCCTCCCTTCTAGCATGCCCACTTCTTCCCACATCTTAGCATCATCCATGAATTTGAACAAGGTGCTTTTCACCCCCTTGTCCAAGTGGCTGATGAAGATGTTGAACAGCTCAGTCCAAGGACCGAGCCCTGGGGGACCCCACTGCCCACATCCCTCCAGGTCAAAAACGACCCACCCACCACCACTCTCTGGGTGCGGCCCTCCAGCCAATTTGCGACCCATCTGCATAGGCATTGACACCACAGTTGCCTAATTTTTTAATGAGAATGGAGTGAGAGACAGTGTCAAAGGCCTTCCTAAAATCCAGAAAGACTATGTCCACCACGACACTTGTGTCCAAGGAATTTGTGACCTGGTTGTAGAAGGCCACCAGGTTGGTCTGACAGGACCTGCCTCTAGTGAACCCATGTTGGTTGCCCCTAAGCATGATCTCCCCTGCTGATCCCTCGCAGATATGCTCCTGGATAATTTTCTTAAAGAGCTTCCCCAGGACCGAGGTAAGATTAACGGGCCTATAGTTTCCTGGGTCCTCCTTCCTCCCTTCTTTGAAAATGGGGACCACATTGGCCCTTTTCCAGTCCTCTGGCACCTTGCCAGAGCACGAGTGCTCGTAAAGCTGTACCAGGGGTTCCACAATGAACTCTGCCAATTTCCTCAGCACCCTGGGGTGGAGATAGTCAGGACCTGCTGATTTGAACATGTCCAGTCCCACCAGAAGTTCCCTAACTCGGTCCTCTCTGACCCTGGGCCCGGCTGTGCCTCTCCTGAGCCCATCTGGAATCCCGCTGGGGCAGATGTCCCGGTTTCTGCTCAGAAAAACAGAGGCAAAGAATTTGTTAAAGAGGTCAGCTTTATCGTCTGGTGTGACCACCAGATTTCCAAGCGTGTTCTGCAGGGGACCCACGTTACCCGGTGCCTTCTTTTTACTTCCTATGTATCTAAAAAAGGACTTCTTGTTATCTTTGATCCGGGTCGCTAGTCCCAGTTCTGTCTCCGCCTTAGCCTTCCTAACACCTCCCCTACAGTCTCGAGCAATGGAGGTATAAGCCTTTTTGGTGATGGCCCTTCCCTTTCATTGGGTGTATGCCTCTGTTTTAGCTTTAGGACATTCCTGAATACCTTTGGTGAGCCATAGGGGCTTTTGAGCACTCTTGTCCCTTTGATTCGTGTTGGGCCTGTCACCCTTTGGGCTTGGAGGATCATTTCCTTAAGGAACCCCTCCCCTCCAGGACCTCAGTGCCTCGCCAACTAATCTCCTTAACTCATTGAAATCAGCCCTCCCTTAAACAGCATTTGTTCCAAAACAGATCCCCGGGGGTCCCTGCTGTTTACTTCTTTCCATCCTGAAAGCTGACTTCTTTGCTTTCTATCTTTGAGTCAATCTCTAATCCACAAGTGGACGTCTCCTGTAATCCCATGATTACCTCATTTAGTTAAGAGCTTCTGACAATGGAGCTTGTGAAAAGCTTTTTGGAAACCCAGATAGACTATGTCAACTGGATTGCCCCAGTTCATTTGCTTACTGACACCTTTAAAGAACACTAGTACAGGGGTAGGCAATCCACAGCAAGGGAGCATGGCATGCAAAGACATTTTGCTTGGCACATGTGCCTTGGTGCAGTCAGTGGGGAAGGGGCTGGGGTTGCACTCCTCAGTAAGGCAAACAATTTGAACCTGTTATCACAAGAAAATTTCCCTATTCCAAATCTCACAAAATTCTACTCTAACTTTCCAATATCTTTTTCTGAGATGAACTGAACACACCATTGTTTTATAAAACGACAAAATATTTTCTATATTATACTTGGCCCCATTTCTTATGTATCCTCACATTAGTTATTTTTAATAAAGTGAATCATAAAAGTCGGGTCGGAAGGGACCTTGTAGATCTTCAAGTCCGATCCCCCGCCTGGGCGGGAGAAAAACTGGACTCAAATGAGTCCAGCCAGGTAGGCATCAAGCCTCTTCTTAAAGACCCCCAGGGTAGGAGCCAGCACCACCTCCCTTGGAAGTTGGTTCCAGATTGTAGCTGCCCTAACTGTGAAGTAGTTCTTGTGGATGTCTAATCTAAACCTACTCTCCAATAATTTGTGTCCATTATTCCTTGTTATGCCAGGGGGCGCTAGGGGAAACAGTGTCTCCCCCAAACCCTTCTGGTCCCCCGTAGTGAGTTTACAGACAGTCACCAGGTCCCCCCTCAGCCTTCTCTTGTGAAGGCTGAACAGGTTTAGGTCCCGCAGTCTCTCATTGTAGGGTCTGCCCTGTTGTCCCTGGATCATGTGGGTGGCCCTCCTCTGGACCCTTTCAATGTTGTCCACATCCCTCCTGAAATGGGGCGCACAGAACTGGACGCAGTACTCCAGCTGCAGCCTGACCAGCGTCGCATAGAGGGGGAGGATCACCTTCTTGGCTCTACTCGAGATGCACCTGTGGATGCACGACAAGGTCCGGTTAGCCCTGCCAAGTGCTTCTGCTTATTCAACAGAGGGTTTCATTGGGATGTCTGCAACTTTCTCCTGAGTTTTATTCTTTTATTTATATGATTTACATCCTGCCCTTCAAGGCTCAAGGAGCCTTATGGCAAGGGAGACACAACAGCAATTAAAAGAGTGTCTGGAATAAATAAAGTAACAAAATCACAAAATAAAGCAGAAACCCACTGAAAAACATCTCTGCCTAGTTTTGGTTAATAAATACCTGCCCAAACAGAAAAGTCTTGCAGTGCTTCTGAAAATCGATTCAGATCATTTAGTTCCTAGTAAGATTAATAAGTAGTCAAAGATATTCTTTCATTTATTCACAGTGAATTTAATCTACCATAGTGTCACCATTTACCTCACTTGATTAGGTCCAGGCTTGATTAACCTAATACTGCATTATCTCATTGCTCACAAGCTTTTTCTGGGTCATTAATCATCATCAGTTCTGCTACAGAATCTCAAAGCAGCCCATTGTAAATCTTTTTGCCTCTGTGGAAATTTATCATTCATTCCTGCTCTTTGTTTTCTGTCTCCTGGTTAGTTCATGATCCAGAACAATATCCACCTTTAGCTGCATTACTTCCTTGTTTCCTTAGTGGCCACTTTTTATATTTTTAAAATCTAAAGAAATATCAGCTTGTTCCCCTTCATCCATTACTTTATTAATGCTCAAAGAATTCTAATGGACTGAACAAGGCATACATTTCCTTTGGCCAAGCAGTGTGGGTTACACCTTTATACTGTGATATTCACAGTGGTTAGAACCATATTTATAGTTACAGTTTCAACCAGTTTACTAAAACAGGCGATGTAGGCTGGTAGCATCCTGGAGGTTATTTAGAGAGCAGGAGTTAGTCTGAAATCAGGTACAAGGCAGGGCAGGGTGGCACCTTAGCCTCCTTCTACATGTTACAGGTACTGTACAATTAACTGGTTAATTGCATAATTACCTTGAGACCAGCTACACAAGCAAAGTAGCTATTACACCATAAAAAGCTCCAACCAGCTATAAAGTCAGACCTCGAAAATATGTACTAACTTTATGCCTGGTTGCTATCCAGCTTTAAATCTGCACGTGTAGCAGTCTGCCCCTGCAGCTGGGAGCCCATCAGCTGACTGGGGTGCACCAGGCGCAGCTGGGGCTGGGAGTCCTGCAGATGATGGGACCCTCCCCCGCAACAGTGCCTCACCAGGAGGCACCAGAGGCCCCATGTATGGATCATGCTTCAGTTCTGTCTTGCCTTTACTTGAAAGTCCAGAGGGACCCACAGGTTCAGACAGCCGTAAGCTTTCATAGGTGACAGCCTAATTTGTCAGATAGTGGACTCACCAAAAGAATGGACCAATGTCATATTTAGAAGAGCATAGTCTAGTGTAAAGCTTTGTTTAAAAAAACCCAAACAAACTCCACCTAACTGTACAGCACAGCAAACTGACATCCACACCACACAAATGCAAGACCCCAGTGACAGTGAGTTACAACTGTATTTCTTAAATACTGCTTATTCCTACCAGTTGACATGCAAGACGCTAGTTCTTCAGTGTGGAAAAGTCTGATCAGTGCACCCCACGATAGCTTGATAACCATGTTAGCGATGCTCCCTACTCATCTGCCAGACGCAGAGATCCTCCTCCTCTTCTGAATGACAGCAACCTTTCACTAATCACAGGCTGGATACTTCATCATTACACCCTCCATTAAGTGCTAACTTTAGGCATAGAAAGAACACCTGCCTACACGTTAGCAAGTCAAGTGTCTCTCACAGCCAGAGTCCCAGAAGCAGGTTTCCCCGTCTAACTCGTAATGTTTCCAGAATGTTCTAAGGATGACTCATTCTCAGAGCAAATCTACATCACAGGGGCACACCTTGCCTAATCCAGTCTACTACCACAGGCAACCTTTCCTTTAGGATTAACAGAAGTTATGGAAATATGCCTGGTCAGGGGGAAATGCCCGTTTCAATATCAAGGCAGAAGTTAATGTAATATTTCTGTTCACAAGCTAATTAGCTGGAGGAGTCCACAGCAAAGGCAGATACATTGAGAGCAGCAGTAAAAGCTTGGCTTGCCTAGCAACCGGCACTGGGTAACACATGGTGTTTGGTACAGTGCAGTATCAATAGAGAACAAGAGCTGCTAATTTAATATACATCACAGATCGTCAGTCTTTACAACTATGGAAACTGCTGAGTATTTTTAGAGGCAGAGAATCAACAGATCTTATTCTTACGCCAGAGCTCTGCAGACACCAGAGGAACCAACCAGACGTTTAGTACATTAAACCTTACTCTGGTAGTCTAGCTGGCAAGGCAAAAGTGTCTATGAGGTCAGTTACATTTGTATGACTCAGTCCATTCCTGAACACAGGATGAACGGTTCAAGGAAAGAGGATATGGCCAGGTATGAATTGATAGCCATACAACAACAACAGATTCTTCTGTTACCCTGAAGAAATCTACCTTTCTTCAACAGTGCTGTACATGTTCAATAAATGAACACTTTCTTACCTTTGTCTTGATTTGCTTTGGCGTGTCAGTGAGGAAGATGGAAGAGTTGGGATCACTGGCACTCATTTTTGTCTGTGCTCCTTGCAGGGCTGGGAAAAAGATTGAGTGCAGTAATGCTGGTTTTGGGTATCCAAGTCTAGGTGCTACATCTCGGGTCATTCTGAAGTAAGGATCCTGGAACAACCACCAATAAAACTGAATATACCCAGTTGAAAACTGCTTGATTATTTCTGACCTAGTTCAGCTTCAAAGCACTAATCTTCTGGCAGGATATTCCCTATTCAGTTACCAGTTCCCTTAGGCAGCCAACCTACCCTAAAAAAATCCCTCTCTGTATCTTTGTAGTCTCTTTGTGGACTCATGTCATAATCACTCAATACATTTATTTTAAAAGAAGCTGTGTTATGACTTCAGTAACTGTGAAAGCCATACGTTGGATGGCTCAGACAAGAGTTGGCCACCTATCAACAGGGGCTGGCAGCTGGACTGCAAGCTTCCACAGACACAGAATCTGATCTAGAGCACTGAGCACTCTTCCAGCACTGAGTTAATAGTGCTTTTTTACAAGCCATGTCAGGGGCTGACACACCTAACAAGTGGCGGGGGTCAATTGTGGTGACAATACAGTACGGATGGAATGCAATGGTTTAGTTTAGGGCTGTCTAACGGGCGACCCAGGGGATACATGTGGTCCTTGAGGAGTTAACTTGCAGCCCCCGGGCTCCTACCCAGCTGTTTGCTCCCCCCACTGCTCCAGCTGCAGCAACAGTAGGGGCATCCAGGCTTCCCCTCCCTCCTCCAGTTTCAGCTTCCTGAAGTGTAGTGCAGGCTGTAGCGCCCCAAGAGCCCTGGCAGCCCTGACATCCCTGGCAGCCTGGGATGTCTGTGAGGTACAATACAGCTGGGGAGTTGAGGGGGAGGCCAGGGTGTCTGTGTGCACAGTGCAGCAGAGGGGGCAGTGGCCGCCTGTCTGGCCCATGTAGCCCCCAGACGCTTATAGGTTGGACAGTCCTGCTTTAGTTCATACATCTCCCAGTGGCTGCTCCCAGAGGAGGTAAAGTCCTGTAGCTTATGGCATTCAAATGGTAAAAATTTATTGTTTGGATGGTAAAGGCTGGGGATTTGATCCCTCAAAGAAGGCCATGGTGCCTGACTAGGTGGGCACAACACATGCCTACACCTGTACACTACAGGAATTGAGCTGAGATCACGATGGATTCAATACTTAATAGGAACATGTACTAACTAGTAAAGTGTGTACTCTTGGCTGAAGGGCTTTTGTTTTTACTGGACATAGTGTAAGACCCTTCCACTTTTTCACATGTCTTCCTAAGGAAGGTGCTTGTGGAAATAAACTTTTCTAAATGCATTCATGCCCCTGCAGAGAGGTCTGATGTGTGCATTAAAAAACCCCCACACACCCCTTAAAATAAAGCTGATGCATAATAAGATGATTTCTCACTTGATCAATGGCACATGGAATAAGACACTGAATGTCCTCCTTGCCCTTGAAAATCTGTGGGAATGTTGAGCTGAAGGATGGAGCAGCTTGAATAGCAGGAAAACTGATCTTTCCTAGAAAAGAAGACATTTTGGAAGATTCTGATTTGCCCTTGCCAGTGCACTATCACCTAGGATGCATAATCAATTAATACTAAAGTAAGTTAACTTTAACAAAGTTCACTGGCATCTCTAAACTAATGATGGTGGGTGTCAGGAAGGGTAATGAAAAGGACTAAATTACTCTAGGCACTCAGTTGGGTCACTGTCGGAGACAGGCTATTGGGCTAGATGGGCCATTGGTCTGACCTACTACGACACTTCTGATATTCTTAACAAGACATACAACTACACAGAAACAATTAATTTAGTTCAATATCTGAAATACATATTAATTCTATCTTGCTCAGATATTGAATTGACTGAGAGAGAGAGAGAGAAGCTTTTGTATGGGATGTTTTGGATAGGAATATTTCTGCCTTGAGTCTCTTCCAGTCCTACTTTTAGGGAATTCTTTATGTAAAATATTAAACTGAATTTTATTTATTAATATATAAATACATATAAATATATATAGAGAGAATATATCATAGAAAAGTAGGGATGGAAAGGACTTACAAGAGGAATATTTTTATTGAAACCATTCCAATGCTAATAGTAGTAAAATTAATAATTAGTCACTACACTTAAGCTTATCACACAAACTTAGATAAATTCTGTATTTAATACTTCATTGCCATTAAGACAACAGCAGTATTTATATTGCAAAAAAAATTGGTAGCTGTAATTTGGCTTGAAGAAGGACACCAGTTTAAAATATTAACATTGAGCTTTCCTTCTCAGCCTTTTAATGAGTGCAGATCCTAGTCTGTTTACATAACCAAGTTGCCTTTGACTCAAAAAGCGTGCAAAACGCTGTAATTTCTAGCAATTCGTATTCACAATCTTACCAATGCAATCGCTATCTGTAAAACCAAAGATTCCTTTCACTTGGTTAAATGTAACATGCTTCTGAATCTTTACAATGTTTTTGTAGAATCCAGGACTCATTCTGTAAGGCAAAATGAAAAGACAAATTAATAGCAAAATATAGTTTCCCTCTTCAACTTTTTCTAATATAATTTCTGCAATAAAACTGACACAACGCAAGTGAGCTGTTACTCCACCTGAGCAGTACTGCTTTAGGACACATTCTGGATAGTTATACTTGTTGTTAAATAAAGATTATTTTACATTTTCTTATTGAAGCTACCACATACTTTGTAGACAGGGCTCATCAAAAGCTTTTTTATGAAAATTGGCTTTATTGGTGGAAGATTGAGGTTTCCTAAATATGAAACTTCTCACAGTCGGTAGTTGCTGTACGCTGAAACATAACCTTTTTGTCAAAAAAACAAGCCTGGAAACAGAAATATTCTGACTTGCAAATGAGGCTGGGGTGATGCTCATGGGAGCTGAAATGGTGTCAGATCCCCATTTCCTTCTCTAGGCCACGGCATTTTGAACTGAAATCTTCCATAATGATACCATCAAGATACAGCATTTGCTCTCTCTTAGAAAGGAGACCATGGGAGATGTAGTTGAACTAGGAAGCTTGGTCTATAGAGAATAGGAGTGGGATGCATTTGACTATGATCCCATTAGACAGCATTTCTAACACCATTTCTAAATCAAAACAGTTGTTTTTTGAATTTCTGCTGAAAAGCTGAATTTTTCATGGGAGGCTGTAGCTATTTCTGTTGTTGTTTCAGTTGGTTAAGGATGGGCAGCTCCAATACTACAGCTAAATTTTGTAGAGCTATTCCATGTGTTGTCAACCCCAGAAATAATTCCAGTGCAAATGGGACCTGTAGTTATCAATGAATGGAAGTAAAATGGCAGAGAGTATTTCTTCATCAGGATGACATCTTTGCAAATTTCTTGCACTACAAGGAAAAACAAAAATGGTTTCCTTCCCTTTCAGGAAAGCAAGCATTGGGAACACTAGAGAAAAGCTCCATAACTTTCCTCCAAAGAGTTAACCTCCCCTGAATTAGAGAGGTTTTTAGGCATGCTTATAACCTCTGTATCTGAACACCTAATTAACCTTCCTCTTTCAAGTGCCAATTATATGTTATGGGTCTACTAAGAACAGTTTTTGAAAAACAGATAAAAGCTTCTGGGGGAAGGATAAAGAAAACCCAAACACTAACAACTTCCAAGGCTAACCCTACAGTCTTTTCTTAGCCAAGACCTTCTATTAAAATTGCAAGGGGCTTTGCGAGAGTAGTACTGATCAAACCTAGTATTACTGACCCACCTCTCTGCAAAAAAAAAAATCTGAAGTTGGCTGGGCTGTTACACAAAACAATACACCTGATACAAACATATTAGCACACAACTCATTTATGAACTTGGAGGTTCTTATTACTGTGACTCTCCTCTCCTCTCTTTGCAAACTCTTCAGGCAGGAATTGTGCTTTCCTGTATATTTTTATTCCCATTAGATAATGTAACCTCGATCCCAATTAGGGCCTTAAACTGTCAAATAAATATAACAACATGGTGCTGTACAAGATGGAATGAGCCAAGGTCCCTGTCTCAAGGATTTTGCAGTCCGGTTGGTACAGAATTGGATCTAAGCCATACAGACGCTGCAGAACACATGAAGGTCTGATTATCATAGCTGTAGAGATACCTGCTGCCTATTCCAATTGTTTCTTTCTTCTGTTACTTTAAAATTCTTATTGAGTGTTTTATTTTTGCTTGGAAGTTACATTTGCTGTAGTCTGTGTGTGGCATAGGAAATTTAGATACAAGTTTGGGAGTATGAGACAATGCCCTAGAGTCTTCTCTTTTTCTGCTTCCCTATTATTAGTTCTTAGGGCATTAGAGGGAAGGGGAAAACATTGTTCATAATTTGCTCATGCTTATTCACTTTGCTCATCTTTACTTACTTAAGTAGCTCCTACACATGCTGACTTGAATAGGACAGACATAAGAGTCACAAATACTCACCGAGTAAAAGATTTCAAGTTCAGGCCTAATATGTTCTAACAAAACATTTCCTCTCTTCCGTTTGCAGAAAAAGGGAGGGGAATATTACTGAGGTGTATATATAATACGAATGGGGGCACTCTGGAGAATTTTTCTGGGTTTTTGTTGTTGTTAAAATATAAAATATTTTAAAAACTGATTTTTATAAAAAGAAAGAAAGAACTATAATAAATGTAAAATGATAAATATATAGGACCAATACTTCTATACCAGAACTGACTTGAATCTCTGGGTCAGAAGATCTCTGATATTTAATATTGATCACAGGGACTTAGGAAAGTAGGGCTGTAAGGGACCTTACAAGGTTTAATCAAAGGTAAGTACATGAGCTTATTAAAAAAAAAAAGAGCTCCAAAAATATACATCTGTTCCCTGATCATAAAGTTTTGCAACTTTAATCTTTCCAGGGAACTGGAATTAATGGACAGTCAGGTATTAGCTTACACCTTCAGCGCCATTTGGCAATACTGGCAGATGCATGAGAACATGTAGCAATACCGCAGCTTCAGCAACTGCCATTCAACAAACATTTCTGCTATTTTTGTTCAAGACTGAGACAGATCTCAAAATATACACTGTGTTTGCACATGTACATGGGTGGAACTTGTAACCACACTTCAGGTCTAACTCTGCTGCCACTGGTCTCCATTAAAGGTTTATTGAGAATACAAATGGAAGCAAACTTAGGTGAACACTGAGGATGTTTCACAGAAATATGGCAGGCAGGCATGAATAAGTTAGAAGAAATTCAAAGCCTTATCAAGAAGCCTTTAAGCTTAGGCAGTTTGGAACATCTCAGAGGCACTGTCCTCTTGCATACTATTGAAAATGTATTTAATGGCATAAAAACAAAAATCAATGTAAAATCATTGAGGTCTTATGCCTTCACATGGGGCCCCTCTCACATAGGAAACAGATACTTGAATTGGTAAAAATTTGCAAAATTAAGTCCCATAAGAACAAATTCTTTTTAATGAGTTGAGAACCAATGCCATGTGGGGATACAAAAGGTTAAGTGCCGTCTCTAAAGCATTCTTCCCCATTCTGAAGACTTCCTGGAAGCTTTTTCTCCACACCCATGTGCGAAAGTAAAGCCTACAACCTAATTTTCAAACTCTATTATAGATCAGGCAGTTACAATAAGCTGCTTATTTTTAAATTGCAAGAATCTTGTGAGCTTCTATTAGCGGTGCACCCCCTACTGGAAATTAAAATGGTAACCTTCTTGTTATACTTCAATGCAAGGTTTTCGACAAGTTACTTGTATCCCCTAAAAAGAGCAGAAAAGTTATATCAAGCTAAGGACATCAGTAAGGTTTTGATCCCAAATAATCAAGTTTCAGCCCCAAGGTTACCAGTGTAAGCCATACATGCATCGTAGATTGTGTGCAACATGTGCCATGCGTAACACAGGCTGAGGAGTCTGTGAGTGGGCATGAGAGTGAGACAGTCAGTGTCTTTAAGGGAATCACAGAAAAGTGTTGCAACTTGTTCTGTGTTAGGCTCAGGGCAACCTAGGGAGTATTCCCCCTAGATTAGTGAACTTCGTGGCAGACTGTGAGAGGAAAAAAAAAAGAGTCAGAGTTGGAGAAGTGGGTTGTAGACAAAACCACTCCAAGTTTCTGGGATAAGGATGCGTTCTGTGGACTGCATCCATTTGTGCAGTTGTGCAACCAGTGGTCTTTCCTGGATAGTCTCCAGACATAAACCCTGGGTGAATAAAAAGGCAAAGAAGTGAGATGCCCTCCAGGGGCTGTTGATTGCAGGTACAGCTTTAACTAAAGAAATGGAACATTTACAGAATGCAGAGGATGAGGCAGAGAAACTGTGGCAAGAGGTGGCTGTCTTAAAGGCACAAATGAATACATTACAAGGCATGTCCTTAAAGGACAAAGTAGAAATTACAAAGTTAAAAAAACAAGTGGAAGCTTTATAAAACCAAAAAGAAGGAAGCAGATAAAGAAACAGCATTGTGGAAATAGAAAGGACAGGATCCACAAGCTGTGCGAGAGGTCTTGAAAGATTCTCCAAATTTAACTAGGTCTGACCACAGTCAATGACACCAGAAGATAAGAGAGTTGGAAGCTAAATTAGGAGTGTCAGAGGAAACTGTGGCAGAGATACAAGGCTTGTGGTTGGGGGGAAGAGAGGAGGGACATGTAGGAGAAGATGGGTCTAATGAAAATGAGTTAGAAGACTGGGATGACAATTGCCCAAATCTATATCTTCCCTATTACAATTACGAGTTCAATCACTGGGGTGACCCTCCCTATTGACCATCCCCATTTCCCCCTTGAGAAGAGAGTTGTAAAGGTTAAGTGATGCCTTGTTGCCTGCCAGGGGCCTATGGCCCCTTTTGTTGAAAAGGGTCTTCAAGAGTACCTATACATGTGCTCCAACATGTTCTAATTAGCTGCAGTTAGAACACGTTGGAGCCAACTCCATTAATTAGAATGTTCCAGTGCGCCTCACTGTTACGTGTATTCAGTGTCCTACATTTCAAAATGGCTTTAACTAAAACTTGTTGAATGACCTTATATAACTGCCTTGCATAAGGCAGTCAACCAACAAGGTCAGGATTGGGATAGATACCTTTAATTTTAATGGCAATCAGAAGAACCTGAGCAGCGCATAGGATTACCTCCCTCACCGTGCAATGATGGGGAAAAAAATTAGGCTCTCAGAGTGTTGGTGGGTGAAAGGTCCATTCAATGAGATGCAACCCAGAATTCTCAAAGACAAATGGGTTCAAGATTTGTAAACTCAATTGCAATAGTTAAACAGGCAAGTGGCTGTAACCCTAAAAGCAAATATTAAAAAAATGGACAGGAGAATGGGACCTTTACTACATCCCCAGAAATGGGAAGTAGGAGATCATGTACTACACAGGTTGTTTAAAGAGAAGGATCACTCACTAAGTCTTTTATGGATAGGGCCCGTTAGGATTGTAAACAAGACTAGCACCACAGTGCATCAAGTGGTAATCCAAAAAAATAAGCAACCTATACATGAAGGCATGGAGAGACCAATAACGGGAGCAAGAAGCTCTTCTTTTTTGTCTTACAGGGACAACAGTAGTAAGATACAGATCCTCCTGATGATAATAGAAGCAGCAAAACTGTTCAGCTTAGTCCAGATATAGCTGGTGGCAGGAATGATTATATCAAGGCCAGCGTCAACAAAAACGTGTGCAATTGACATAATAGCTGGCACATATCCACTGAAAGTCACCGGCAACATGTCTATGTTGTAATATAATGACAGCAGATCACACTGGACACTGAAGGTGAAGTCTGCAGCTATTAGCACCATGTTGATGGTACAGTATACTGAAAACTTTATTATAGTTAGCAACTTTACAAAGGGAAAACATTCATGTAAAACCATAACCCATTCGGGAAACTATGAACGTGCTCTACAAACCAGTGATGGACAATAGGTGATGGAACAACAGGCTAAGGTGTTTCATAGAATCTAGAAAATGAGGGTTGGAAGGGACCTCTGGAGGTCATTTACTTCAACCCCCTGCTCACAGCAGGACTATCTCCAACTAGATCATCCTAGCCAAAGCTTTGTCTAGCTGGGTCTTGAAAACCTCCAAGGACGGAGCTTCTACCGCCTCTCTGGGTAACCTGTTCCAGTGCTCTACTAGCCTCCTAGTGAGAAAATTCTTCTTAATATCTAATGTAAACTTCCCTTGCTGCAAGTTGAGACTGTTGCTCCTTGTTCTGTCATCTGCCACCACTGAGAACAGCCCAGCTCCAAATAGTTTCCCCTGGTTCCAAAGCAAGATCTTATTTTCAAAGAAATTAGTTTTGGCAACCTCAGTAGTTTGAGACAAACTGTAACCAATTATACATTTGTGATGTTCTATGTGTGTATGAACGTAATTAGTTTTAATGTTAGTAACATTAACAGTCTTGTAAAAGGTTTATCCGAAATAACGATGAAAGGTTTAATCAATGCTTAGTGTTAATTATGCCAAATTATTTTCAGGGACCACAATCCGAACCCAAGCAAAAAATGAAAAAAAGGATTTAGAAGTGCTATTGGAACAAGTGGAAACTGCCGATGTGACCCTTAATTCTACAAATGTAAAAATTCTGGCTAATAAATTAATCACAGCAACAGGTGCAACAGGTGAGTTGAGGAGCCCCAGGTCCAGCTCCTTGTTACATACTAACATAATTATTAATTTAACTAAAACAGAAGACAGACAACTGGGAAAATTGTTAATAAAAAGAGTTAAGAAAACAATTAACATGATAGAGAAAGCCACAATTAACATGATAGAGCAAACTGCAAAAGCAGTGGCATGTACCCAAGCATAATCTTTGTTAAATCAAATGCAAATACAATTAATTAAAGATGTAGTACCGGGCACAACTGAAGCAGAATGAATGTGGATTTGCAAAAAGCATATAAAAACTGGCAGGAAAAATGGGCTTCATGGTAAATAATGGTCAATGGTACCATAAAACATGGGGAATGGGACTTAGGGCAAGTATGTTAGAAATAATTTGATAAATATTTCTTAGGGTTCCACTGTTTAAGTCTTCCAATGTTCCCAATGGAAAACGGCATACCATAAAATGGGTTCCAGCACCCCAATGAGTTACAAAGGATGGAATGCTTGTTAGTCTAAAGAACTGTTGATTGTAAGGGGCAGGGTATATGTATATCCCAAAAGCATATAAACCAACTGCAAAATTAGGACTAAAGTATAAACAAAAAATATTATGATGGTGAAAGTAAAGTGGACACCATAGGAGGAACCATGGTAAGTGTGGTAGGAAAATACCATGATAAATATAAATGGGAAACCTAATCTCACTCAATCACTGTGTAGTAGCGTGCTAGAATAATGTAACCACATTACTAACTGGTAATAGTGTCAGTTGAAAAGCCTCTCTCATCCATATGGCCCAAATAATGTTCAGCTATTAGATAAAAGCACCAAAAAGCCCTGCTGAAGTACCTGATGGATACAGACGTTGGGTAAGCCAGGTCAAACTAACACGTTGCCTTGTCTGAGCATGCGCTGTGCTTGGCATGGGGGGCATAAAGCACTGTTTTCTTTTCTTTTTTTTCTGTCTGTAAGCAACCATGGATAGTAAGAACATTCTCATTAAAAGCAAAGTTCTGTGTTAAGTGGCACAAAAAATTCTCACATAGGTTTCAAATCCAGTCATAAAGCTGTGCTTATGTTGCTAGCTGTTGAAAGTACACAGAAAATACTTTAAAACGTTTGATATGGGTCATGAAATTGTTATAAACTTACCCCAAGTAGTCAAGATCAGAAAAGATGAAGGTTTTATTGATGTCAAAACCACAGGCTATGATATCCTTTACATTCTCTACAGCATATTCATAAGCTCTCTCAACCGTCAGATCTTTCCAAAGGTACTTCTCATCATCAGTCAACTGTATAACCAAAGGAATATCAAATACTTCTTGCAGCCACCTATTCAAAGTTAAAAAAATATTTTAAGATAACTGACAGTGAATAAGTTGTAAATTCAGAGAAAAAATGAAGAGGTTTGAATCTCTACCTCTATGCATGTTATTTAGTCATTGATACTTTCACAAAACCATTGCAAAAATTCTATCGAGTCAGAACATGAAGAATCCCCCTCACCCTCTCTCAGAACTACTCTTTCACACACATTTTGCACAGAACATAAATGCTTACTCAGGCAAAACTGAAATGAGGCTAGGTTTCTAAGGCTACATCAGTGGCCTCACTGTATTTGTTGTCATTCAGGAACATAAGTCTGAAAGGAATTTTGTGAGTCTTCAAGCCGAGTTCCCAGCTACTGTTGGTACCAGGTCATGCAAACTATTACATAAACTTGCTGAGTTGGCATACACTTATTTTACAGGAAAAAGAACAACGAATAATGTTTACCTGACACATGGGAAAGTTACAGCGGGTGCTGGGACTGTAACATATTTACTTTACCGAATGTGACCTTAATATTTCATAACAGATTTTTACGTTTGCTCTTATATTTAACTGAAATAAACAGTTCTTGGTTGTGATGCGCTGTTTAAATGTTAAATGCAATTCAGTATGTCACTAGATGAAAACCGAATGTTCTTGTCCAATATGAAGTACATAACATAGTGGCTCAAGCTACTTACTTTGTGAAGATCAATGGGATAAGATGACCAACATGCATTGCCTCAGAGGAGGGGCCTCTACCAGTATAAAGGTAAAAGGGCTTCTTATTTTCATATGCATCAAGAATTTGGTTCATATCTCTACAGAAAATAAAAAAGAGGCAACACAATGTGACTTTTATAGAAGCTGAGCAACAAGGATAAATGAATGAATTCTAGAAGGACAACTGTAAGAGAAAGTAAAATCTTGGATTTGAAGAGTGAAAGCTTCTGACTGCCAAATGTATTCACATATAAAATAGAGCAACTTAACACTCTATTATTAGCATACTTAAAACGAGTTACCTAAAGAAAACAAGAAAAGAAAAGTTGTGCTTGCCTAAACCTCAGAGAGAACATATAAATAGGTTAAAAAAGTCAAGTCAGAATTATTTAATAGAAAATATAGCATTTATATTATGACATTAGATGGGAGGCACTGGTCGTCCACTGGATTCCAACAGTGTTGACCAGTGGTTCTTAATCTTTTTAGACTTAAGGCCCCGACTATGGATTCCTATTTGAAATATCTGGGTCTGTCTTGTGAGTCATGTGTAAGTCTTTGCACACTTACTAGTACTAATGTTGCGTGACACCCTTAAAAGGATCTCAAGGCATCCCAGGATGCTGCAGATCCTTGAATCTGTGTAGAGACTCAAGGAAACCAACAGACACTTTACACGAGCACAGAGAGGTCTATGTCGTTAACTACTGATTGAGGAATGGGCCTAAGCATGACTAGAACTAGACAATACCTAAGACTTGAAAATTTTCCTGCTTGAATTAACAACTTGTATCCATCTGCCTTCCCTTGCACCTTGCTCCCAAAAAGTTTGATTGTACCAAGAAATAAGATTTTATTTCCAGGAACAAAGGATAACTTTAAAAAGGACTTAGATGTGGGATTCAAGGGATTTTATTTCTGCAGATAAGCTGCGATACTCCTTCTATAGATGCTAAATGTGAGGAACTCAAACAAGAAGAAACTGCTGAATCATACCCTATGACAAACAGCTTTTGAATCCTCCCCCTCAGTTATTTATATGGGGTTATAACATTTCCTGTGCTGCCCACACATTCATTAAGGCCACCTTTGCAAAAGTGAGTCATGCAATAGCCATAAATATAACTGCTAGTTGCATCATTTAATAAATAAAGATGTGCTGCTTTACAGAAAGCTTTTAAAATTTTAGTGCTAGACTTTAAGAGAAAATGACATTCCAAAACTACTTGATTTCTCTAGACTTAATATTTTAATACCAACTGTTTCTTGTTAAACTAGTGACATGTTAGAATATTTTTCTGCTTAACACAACAGCAGTTATTTGCTATTTTCTATACTACTTATTCACGCATGTTACAAAAACAGTGGTCCTTATAATACAAGGTGGAAGGAAGGCATCATAGTGAAATAGCAAAGACTCCCATATTGCATTCCCTAAATTTTCCCTACTTGCTTGGAATTAATGGTGAAATATTCTAAATCAATGCATATATTCTGAAATAAATTAACTAGCCTTTGGGGGCAACATTTTTCTGTCAGGATGGTGTAAATCTGGAGTAACAAGCATAGTTTCAAGCATGTTCAATTGGGTTTACATTTGTAAAATGACAGCACAGCATGGCTTTCTATTGGGCACAGGTTGCTCCCACTACATGGACAGGTGCTGTATGTATCTTGATCTGCACACAGTCCTTGTCTTTTAAAGTTCTACATTGGTAAGAAAACTCACCCACCTATGAGAAAAAAAGATGCCTCTGCGTAGAAAGTGGTGAGGTTTTTGCCCGGTTACTCTTTCTAGTCGATTGATCAGCTCTTTGTCAATTTTACTGCTGCCAAACCGAACTGCAATAAAAATTGCATAATTTATATATGTTGCCAGCTGAAGTGCTCTATACACTTAAACAGAATATATTCCTTAGGCACTAAACTGAAGACATCTAAAACAACATTACAAAGCTGGAATAATTTGGGTCACAGTTAATTACCATGTTCAGAAAACTTGCAAACAGCTGCTCACTCTTGTCACAGTAACAGCACCTCTGACCCCTCCTAGCCTTGTAGGATTGCCTTTGTGATCTTTGGCAGAATCACTCAATTCTTTCACTCTCGGACCAGGACCCTGGTCCCAACTGTGACTACCACAGCAGGGCATTCTTTACAGGTGGAAACCAATGACTGGTTAATACGGTATGTATACCATCTCCTTAAGATAGAGTAAGACAAAAGTATTTCAGAGAAAACATCCCTTTAAAATCAATAAGGAAGTCGCTTCAGGAATGGATGCTGTGTAGCTCTACAGCTCCCTTCCTTACCTCCCAAAGCTTATTGCCAGCCATAAGCATTCAAACTGTTCTCTTTATCTTTCTGAGGTGTGAAAGGCGAAGTCCTTTGCTTTTATTTTGATACCATTATGGAAGCTCCAGCTTGCCTGGATTCTCCACAAAAACATAAAGATTGAAACTGTCTGGCCACACTGCTGTAACCAAGATAGCTGATTGAGCAAAGACAGTCTGCCCCTCAGGGATTAGAATAAATATGACCCTTCCTAAAACCAGTATCAGGAGAGCAGATTCTTTGAGAAAAGTATTCAAGGATGTATCAGGCATCAAAAACATTAAGGCACGTAAATAGCCGTTTGGGTCTGACATCAAGAAAACAGAAACTGACAGCAAGTTCTTGTTTCGAGAAGACAATATAAATACCCTGAATGCAACCTGAGAAGTCTACAGAACAACTGCAGGACAATGTTAATGATCTCATGAGAAATCATCTGAGAACAGCGCATCTCCAGAGGTAGAAGAAAAAAGGGGCATCACTGGGAATTTTAACCAGATTTATATTAACCACTGCTCATCCCTCCATCTCTTCCTCTGACCAGAATTTGAAGACAGGGAGAACCAATTGCTCCTTTCCACCAAAGCCCTAGGCCATAATTGTAAAATTGATAATATATAATCTTACAGAGCTTACCCTTTCAGAAGTCTGCCACTTTAAAAAACAATTTAAAAAACCACACCCATATGGACACAGAAGGGACATAGAATGATGTTTACCAGATTATACCAAGGAAGTGGTAGAAATGAAGGTTAAATTAGACAAATAAAGGGTCCTAGTTAAAAAATTGAGTTTGAATTATTTTATTTCCTCTTCTGTCACTTTCAAATGTAAAGATGAGGACAGCAGGTGCAGCTTTATGACAACTGTGCGGGTCTTTAAAGCGTTTTAACAATTCAGCTACCAGTATAGAAACTCAACTCAAACTTAAAGTCCAGCTGCCAATCACACTGGGAAAACTCACTTGTTTTCAGTTCTGCCTTGCTTTCAGTTTCCTTTCTTTCGATCTCCTTGATTATACCAGTGGTGGGAGCCAAATGAAGAGGAAAGGAGTGGTGAAGAACTGATTTCTGGTTAAACTCTGCCCTTTTCCCAGATACAGGATAAACCTGCTTGTTTCTGTACCCACAGTTAGCAGGTCAGAGTGCCTACAATACTGGCATGCCTGTCTTGCCAGTGGTTATTCCTTTCTCTTAATGTGTCTAGGTTGCTGGCAGCACAGCCACCTCTGAGATGACTTCAAGCCAAATGATTAACTGAACTTGGGGGGCCTTTTCATGTTCACAATCAAAATCATTCAGTGGGGAAGTGGAATTTTTTTCCCCTGTTTAATGACAGTTTAAAGCATACCTTACCACCACCCAAGTCAGCCAGCTAGCATCCTTTACACTCCTCTGCTTAATTCTCTCCATATCCCAAATTCCAAACAGCAACTAATTTGGAGATTCTTTGTTGAAGAAAATCTTCATTCTCTCCTAATATATCCTTATACTTATACATGGTTTCTACTGTTTGGCTACACATAGCCATGTACATTCAAGAAAGTTATGTTAGAAAAAATATGCCACTGAATTGCATCGTTTCTTGGCACTTTTGCTTCATGTCTACAGTTAAAACAAAGGGACTGTGGTGTTAACGAATATTCAGTCTGCGGAAATACCCTCTGCCTTGAAGAGTAGTCAAACTGTTTACAATCAGGGATTAAGATTATAAACCTTTATAGAAAGGAAGATTTTTTAAAATATTTATTTATTGCTGAATAGTATTACATTTCCTGGAGTGCTTATTCTTCATAGGATAAAAAGAATCCTACCATTTAAATCTAATTACATTATTTCTCCACTCAAACTCCCCAAGGAGAAATGAAATCCCATTCTATTCTTAATAAATATCCCTTGCTGAACCCACAACTTGGTATGAGGCCAAAAATCTGTACATGTCCATGTCCACATGCTGCTACTGAAGCAGCACAAGCTAGATCTCATTGTTTTAATACTAAGCCCTCCTATTCTTTTATAACATTTTTTACAAGTGTTGAAGTTATGATGTAGCTATAATATGCAAGAAGCAAAGATTTTTGTGAGTAATATCTTTTATTGAACCAACTGTGTGATTGGGATAGACTTATATAAGCTTTCAGGTATCACAGTATCCTTCTTCAGGTCCTCACCTGACCTAAAGGGCATCTGTTCTTGAAAGCTTGTCTGGACATTGCTCTCAGCTATATCGCTGGTCCAACAAAAGATCACTAAATAGCCCTTGCTTCCAACATATTCAGACCATCATACTTCCAAACAACATTTGGGAGAACAGAACAAACTGACACTTGCAAACCACTATACATAAATTGCATGCAACAGATTACTGCAAAGTTAAGGCTGCACAGTTAAGCCAGAAAATGCATATTATTGAATAGACACCATCCATTTCAACAGGAGGGCTAGAAGGCTTTCCAGTTACTGTACAGATCTGTACATGTTGTAGGTACAAAGACTGTATAATGCTATAAATGAAAGAGATTAGACAGGACAGTATTTTTGTTTGCACTCCTTACTTGGTTTTCCCTGTTTAATGGCAGTTTAAATCATACCTTAGCACCACCCAAATGAGCCAGCTAGTATTCTTTACACTCCTCTGCTTAATTCTCCCCATATCCCAAATTCCAAAAAAAAACCAACAAAAAAACCAAAGGAATTCAGCATAAGATAAAACAAAAATCACAAAGGAGAGAGCAATCTATGGACAGTTTCAGCTTAACAATCGATTCTTTAGAAATGCGTTAGTGTAAAAAGACAGGGTATAATGGAAGCTAGTTTGCAACTAATTATAATGGTCCCTATGAGCAGTCCCCATTATTATACACAGTAATAACTTCATGGAAGTTCTGTAATTGGAAATGGTCATATTATTAGCTGGACATGCTGACAACACATGAAACTTCTGTTTCAAAATGAGAGGATATAACAAAACCTTTGAAAAAGTGTTAGGTTTTTAGAATCATTTTACAAAAGTTACATTTAGAACACAGAATTTACAGTATAAGAGAGTATATACCTATGAGTTTGTCATAGTCTACGCCTTTTGCACTGGATGTCTGCACTGTCCATGGATCTACAAAATCATCATCTTCTGCTAAAGTTGGAGCATTGTTTATTGGTGTGAAATCTGTTGGAGGTGAACCAGCTTTGTAACCTTCTCCTGTTGTTGCTTTATACATCAGTTTTAATGACAACAGTAACTTCACAGCTGTGTCAATTTCATCCTGAATAAAGGAAAGTTTTCAGATTTAGTAGACTTCAGTGAAGGTTTTCCAATAACACCTCCAACATACAGATGCTTACACACACAACAAAAGGGCCCAGTTATGACACTGGGTAAACCACA